CCAAGAACTGTATGGTCAGAAAGATAGGCCCTCCTAAATTCAGGTGGAGACCCATCTGCCTGGTGGTCCCAGAGAGACCCGATTTCTCTGACGTCATGGAGGACTCGTATGGTCTGTCGAAGAAAACCATCCCAGGATCCAGGAGCAGCAAGAAGACCGCAGGACGCATCCATCTCTGCAGCTACCTATACATGTATAGTGGAATTGTGGCAATTTCCTTGCTAAGCATTGCTCCATAGCTTCACTAGATACCCATGTATGGAGCCACTCAATGCCTATGCCTGGGTCCTCAGGCAGGATAAGAGAAAAAACACCCATTCATACATGCCTTCTCTGGAAACTTGCAATAGATTTGTGAACACATCTTTCAGCGAGGGCGATCCAGATGGACAATTTCTCTGTACGGCATACTGCATAGAGTGGATCTGCCTGGCATGTGAAGGGAGGCCTGGGGGCAAGCAGACGCTTGCTTCTCCCTTGATCTGTTTGCACCCCAAGGCCAGCAGGAAGTGCGGTTGCGATGGAGCAGAAAAGATTGCCATGATGTAGACTCCGCATACAACAATGGCAAAGAAAACTAACCTATGAGGGAGGGAAGTTCCAGTAAATCTTAACGCAGTCTAGACTCAGCAAACAGGCGCGGCATAGATTTGGCGAACAAGGGCATTGGAAACGAACATATGTGGGGGGGTCGGGGTGCCGGGGGCAGAGATTCTGTAAGCCTGGCATAGCGATAGCATAGGCCGAGCAAACAGCAGCACCGAAATCTAGCCATCTGCTCCGCGTAGGCTCGGCAAATGAGGGCATAGAAAACTAACATGTGGGAGGGATGAGCTTGCATAGGCGCAGCAGCATAGGGCCAGGAAGCAATGGGCACAGAAACCTAGTGATATGCTGTCCTGGATGTGCACCGTAAGAGCTAGTTTGAAGGCAGACGGTGAAGCTGAGATCATGGGATTCAGCCATCACATCAGCAAGAAAAGCAGGTAATCTTAGTTGAATGGGAAACACCATGAAGATCGAAGAGGGACAACGGATCTATATCTTTGCCCACCTGTGGGATGATTCTTGTATCACTGTTGTGGGTTGTGGGAATTACCCTCTCCAAGCGTATTGGACCTCTTGGTCAAAAATCTGAGTTCGGACAGATTTTGAAAGAAGAAGAAGAAAAAAGACGTGGATTAAACCTTCAACATTGTCGAGGCTGTTCCTCAGAGGCAGGCATGAGAACACACAAGCCGCGACTCTAGTCTATGACACCCCAAATCTCTCATCTTTGAGGCTCCGGGCCTCTGGCTATAAATACCAGCTAAGAAGGGTCCCTCCTAGCTCTGGCTGTTTTTCGGGAATTTCGACTGCCAGCAGATATCCCCCTGACATCGACTGCACATATGCATTTCTGACCTATCAGCAAGCCTGCTCAGGTGTTGGGCTTGCTTGAGTGACTGGCTTCAGATTCTTTTTTTATTGTGACTGACAGCAGCAATACTGCAGAAATCCAAGCCACTCAGAAAAGTTGTCATCACATGAACCCATCCCCATTTTGTTTATCACATGCCAACCAGCCCAACCACTCTTTCTTTATTCAGGACCTACCACCCACCTTACCCCCACCTCACCACATCTTTCCACACGATATATAATGCACTGCATCACATTATTTCACGTTGTAGAGGTAAAACGAGGACTCCTTCCCTGCCCGGGGGCGAGAATCGCCAGATCAGATTTGCCAACATCGAAACCTCCTTATTTTGGATGCAACCCTGTCATCACCTGTCGAGGGATAAGCTGTATGTCGCCAAGCAGCCGTGAGCAGAGAGTTTCTCGGGCTATGTCGGCAGCACAAGTCCAAGGAACTCGCTGCTCATGGCCCCTCCGCGGCAACCCAGCTAATGTTTGGTTAACATGCGACCAGTGTTCCATCTGATGTTTGGTTTCCAAGCTTTGGATGGCAGTTTCCCATATGCTCATCCACGCCACCCTCTTATGGGCTGTCCTTTCGGTAGAGAGAGGCTGGAAATACTTAGCTGCAATCTCCACACCTCTGTTTTCCTAGCATGCGGAAGCCATGTTGCCTGTGGTATCTGTCTGCACAACCATTCAGCACAGCGACTCTTGGATTCAGTGCTTCCACAGCCCACACCCAAACAGAAATTGCCCGATCTGTGGGAGCAGTCATTGGCCACTTATCCGAGGCGTCAATACCCTCTCCTCCTCCATTTGTCTTTTTGTGCAATCCGGCCCATGAGTGACCATTGACTTTCATGCCTGTCTCTGGCAGTCTGTTGTGCCGGTGATGTCCTCTTTGTCACCTTCCTTTATCAATCAACCCCTTTCTCCTTTCTTTCTCCCCTCCCTCGCTTTTCCTTCTCGCCCCTCCTTCTGTTCTCCGTGCAGAACTTCTAAATGCATATGAATGAGCATCGCTAATAGAACAGGCAAAAAAATATAAGTTGTAAGTCTGTTGAGAGGCAAACGGTTGTTCAGTCCTCCTGCACTCAGCCACACGCATGTGGCCGGCCTTGCACGCTCTTTTTTGTTTTTGGCCTTGCGCCACTCCAAATACGTCAATCAATGAAAGTTGCTTCACCCAAACATTTTTTTTGGACCATTTCTCAGTTTATGTGTGTCATCCTTCCAAGCAGGGTCCATGTTAATCTTCTCTGTACCGTTCCAATTTTAACGGATGTCCCGAAGGACTGCTTCAACCAAACATGGACATACTTTTTTTTTTCTTTCTGAAAGGAACCTCAAAGATTTTTTTTTTCCTTCAACTCAGGTATGCTGAGGCAGCCTGCTGCTCCAGGGGGTATCATGTCTGCTCCAGTTCTGCTAAGGCTCTGTTCTATTGCTGGGGACCAGCACCTGCTGACAATCGGGGTCAGTGTCCCATAAAAATAACCAGAACAACAAAGAATAATGAGCTTTATCGAGAAAGTGGTGTGTGGCGCTGCTGGATTGTGCAAAGCGTCAAGGAGGTCATGTTGGATCTCAAGCAGAATGTGCAGTCCCTTCGAGGCTCTACACCACACACAACAGATTTTACCATAGTGTGCACTAACCTGCCACAAGAGAGGATCCTTCATAATGTGCTAAACAATATTCATGAAGCAAATCCTGGCCTTTTCTGGATGTTCAACAAATCCTGGCCACTCCCAAAAATGAAACGGACCCAACCCGAAGACAGTAATCAATCCAAATCCCTCTGGGAACAAATACTACACACCTGGAGAACCATCTTCCCCGAGAACAAAACAGGTCCAAAGCAAAAAGATGAAGTCCTCAGGCAACCCCTCTTCGGCAACCCACACATCAAGAACGATAAAGGGGAATTCCTCCCACTTTCAAAGTCAGAACCTAAATGGGGGCACTGGCTAGAAAAAGGAATTTGGCAAATCAAACACATCTGGGACAATCCAAATAAAACATGGAAAACAGAAAAGGACCTACGAGACCAACTAAAAGGAACACATCATCTACAAACCAACCTAAACCACATAGTAGACTGCATTCCCCTACAATGGCGAGCCCTATTGAAAACAGACCAAAAATGGCATCACGGCGATTGGGCTACCATCACGAATATCTCACCAATACAGGAAGTCCTCTTAGTCAGGAACTATGAACCCCAAAACAATTGCTGGATATGCTGCGACATATACACTCTAGAGGACCCAGGAAACCCAGCAAGCTACATCAATACCGAAAGCAGGGCAGAAGGAGCATTCAAAAGCTACATCAGAATAATAGAAGGAGAAAGAAAAAGAGTCTACAAACCCCACATCAGCGTTTCTAACCTGGAGATCGACCCATCAGAATGGTCATGGAAGTCCTCCCCTAATTCCACCCTCATCTCAAATCAAAGTAGGCTAACGGACTACACACCGAAACTAGGTTATCGTCCCCTCACTAAACCTATATCAATATCCAACACAATACATAACAGATGGACAAAGGAAGAACCACAATTGGCCAACACCCATTTTTGCCTCCCCTGGGCCAAAATCTTTTCCACAAGACCAGTCAAGCTGGCCAGCCTCAGATGGTTAATAGCCTTCAGAGCAGTCCCAGTAAACCAATGGTTAGCCAACAGACGCAACCACGAAAACAGAACAGAACAGGACTCGTGGGGCGAGGTTACATGGTATGTAACCTCGCCTCCCCCGAATCCCTGAATCATTGCTTCATAGACTGCCCAAAGACCAGATCCCTATGGCAAAGCCTAGAAGCGACATGGCACAAAATCTTGGACTCTACCCTACTAATTAACCCTGCCACACTATTTCTCGACCTCGAACAAATACCTCCACCTAAAGGCTTCGAAGCCTTCCTCTCTTCACTAATCAAGAAAAGCACCCTATGGGCTATTTGGAAAAACAGATGTGACTACACCTTCGACGACCGACTCACCCCCTCAGAGAACCCACTCATCATCATAAAACAACTTATAGACACCGAAATCCAAGCCCTCTGGAAAAAACAACTCAACAACCTCCCCAGTGACCCCGACAAAAAAAGTGAAACAATTAAAAAGTTTGTAACCTCCAAGCTAGGGAATGGGAAACTAGGCTCACTCAACAATGACCGACTGACTCTAAAAAATTGGCTGAACTTAACTTTGACACAAAGCGCCCCGATGCCACCCCTACCCCGCATTCAACCATCCCCAAACCAGTCACCCACCACTAACCCAAGATCGAGTTAACAAAGTCCACCCCCGGTCCCAGCCCAACAACCTCGCTCCAACCACCTCCCTCCCTTACACGCTACCGACACTCCTCAAATCTCCCCTATCAAACCCCGACACACCTCCATTACCCTCCCGCACATCCTCTTGACACACCCACCACATCAAGCTTATCCAATCCCCCACAATCCAACCATCCCCTAAACCACAACACCAGCTCTACAAAGAATACCCACACAGAATCCAATCAATCCCCACACCAAACATATCCTTAGATCTCAGACCCGCCTTTGAAGAAGAATAAACAGTAGGGACACTGTGGGCGCAGGTTCCATCAGGAGAAGGAAAGAGAGACAACTCCAAATGCAAGGCGAGAACCCCCCCCCTCTGGGGTTTTCATGGATACTGCTCAAGGAAGGACACGAGCCAAGGGAGGTTAAAAGTCTAAGGGTTTAAGGTTTAGACAGAGCCAAGGGTCTGGAGTCTAGATAGAATCAAGGGAAGCAAGGAAAAGACAAACCGAGGACAAATAGACAAAAAGTCAGGATTCGGACAGATTCAAGATAATTACGGTCCAAGGTTCAAGGCTTTCAGGAAGTCCGCAAGTTCCTCAGTCCTCTCTAGCATAGCACATCTACCCGGCAGCAGTACAGCTGATAGGAGCAGGACCGAGGCCAACCGGATTAGCAAGAGTCAACCAGAATAGGCGGAGCAGGCTAACTTATGCAGGGGTGAGGGAGGGTATATCCTTCCACAAGGAAGTAATCAATGCCATCCACTCGGGCCTCCCAACCATAAAGGGGAGGAGCGTGCGTGAGTCTCAAATGTATCACATATTGACTTGCCGGGGGAATAGGAACCGGACTGTCGCTCCCCAGAATGGTTGGAGCCAGAACCACGAGGTTCTGTTTTCTTCTTCAAAAAAAAAAATTAAAAAAAAAAAAATTAAAAAAAAAATCATGAAGCAAATGATTATGCCTCGGCACGGATTCCACAAGACAGGAGGCCGGCTTGAATGTACATGACAGTTGGACGTCCTCATCGTGTGGGGTGGGTTACTTCCTAGGGCTCTGACACTCTCTTAGAGTCAGATACAGAACAGGATCTGTGGTATGCGGTCTCTAATACTTGTCTGTATGCAAAGGATGACACTGCGCACCATCAGGTGGTTGGCATCCCTATTGGCACTAACACTGGACCAGTACACTCTACTGTGATGACCCGCAGTTCATTGATGAAATTTCAAATTTGTCAGCCGGAGCTACACACAGTGAATGAATATGCACTTAGTATCAGTTAATTGATGAGAGCTACACGCAGTGTATGAATATGCACGTAGTATCCGTCATTGATGACATCCTATCCCCGAATAATTCTCTGCCGTGTCCTGCTCAGTATGGTCTCAAGTAAACAGACTACTGAGCATGAAGGGCCCTGCCTCTTCCTACAGGCAAGAATCTCTCTCAGCCAGATGGCTCGCTTCGCATTGGTGTATTTCATAAGGTTCAGGTTTGGACATTCACGGCTATACACTATCCTGGTGCTTCCTCCAATGCCCCAGGGCCTGCTCATCAG